ACCGCAGTTTTTTTATTGTAATTTTGGCTATTATCAGGAAGATGCTGCTGCCCATCTCCTGCCTGTTTCCCTTTGTCGCCTTTTACGACACCCACGGGAGGATATGGGGTAGTGGATATTCTTGACCGCCACTACACGGCAAATAAAACAAATATTATGTTATTTCAAATGACGCTTCATTTTAATAAACGCTAGTAATTTATTTATTTGTATTTATTAATCAGTAATATAATACCTACGTTTATCAATAATAATGTAGTACGCAAGGAACTTCGTGCCAACCGAGTGTCCCACGATACTCACGCATTTCTTTCCAAAATCGTTACTTGTTCTGTAAGTGATTGTGGTGCTAATAATAGAAATAATCCTGATAATTGCACATTTCACAGGTAAATTCTCAAGACGTCGTCATTCATGTTATGAGGCGTTTATTTTTGTTTAAAATTTATGTTATATACTGTTTGAAACATAGACTGTTTTCAATTATTTTGTTCATTTTGATATATTGCAAAGAAAAAAGTCACGTTGATAATTTGCATGATTTTGGTAAATACATTTTTTTACAAAATATTTTACATGTACGTTAGGGATTGACTTATCTACATCAAAATTAATGTCGATATTTATCTTGAATGTTTATAATGAACGAGACTTGCCCACACAACAAGAAACTAAATTCTCGGTTTGCGTTCTAAAATGTAATTTTATTTTGCCGTTTGTCAAGCAGGTTCCTTCCGGATTCTATAATTAGAAAAAATGGTTAAGGTTAATTAGACGGGTTGGTTGGAATCCAAAGAAGAACTCAACAATTTGCAGCAAACATTTCCTAGGGAAATATAAGAGATAAAAAGTAAAATAAAAACAATTTTATTAAAAGGAGTCATTTCTACATTGTTTGTACCAGTAATAATAATATTGTTATAATAAAACTTCAAAAAATTAACCTTCAAAACTTTAGATAATAATAGAGACAGATTTATATACATTATAAAATTGTAGTGCATTAAAGATAAAAAATCTTGAGGTAATCCTCTTTAAGCTATTACGAACCCAATTAAGTATCTATTTATCAACCAAAATAAACGTATAACCTTACTTAAACAACCACATAGCCTCACGTTCACACTAGTACAATATTCTATTTTCCCCAAGGGGTTGAGCGGAGCTTCGGATTATATTTCCAAGTCACAATGATAAAACTTTTAGCGTAGTTATTTATAATGTATTTAGTAATGCTCTTGCACCGCCACTAGACACCCGTGCATGAGTCGTGATAGCAAAAATTCCATAATATTCGATACTCACAAATCTCGATGCACGATTCATGCTTGATGGCCGACGACATTGTGCCGAGGACTTAAATAGCGTGGTTCATCGCCTACAGAATTAGTCGTAGAGAAAAGGAACTCGTGGTTAAGTAAATGCAGAGAGGTGTAAGACAGGGTGACTTTATATCCCCGAAATTCTTCACCGCTACATTGGTAGACGTTTTCAAGCTTCTGAACTATAAAGGATACGGTATTAACATCAACTGAGAGTACATCACTCACCTTCTATTTGCCGACGATATTGTTCTTATGGCAGAATCGCTGGAGGACCTAAGCACTATGCTCAACGACCTTAATAGTGCTTCCCAACGGATAGGTCTTAAGATGAACATGGACAAAATAAAGATCATGTATAACGTCCATGTCACACCTATGCTGGTAGTTGTTGGAAGCATTAAGCTCGAAGTTGTTGACGAGTATGTTTACCTGGGGCAAATAGTCCGATTAAGTAAATCCAACTACGACCGAGAGGTCGATTGACTGATTCAACTCGACTGGGCAGATGGCCTGGCTCGATGACCTATGGACGTGGTTCTTCACTGCTGGCCGGATGATGAAGCTCAAGGTCGCTCAGTGAGCTATGGAGAGGCCTATGCTCGGAGTTTCTCTGCGTGATAAGCTTAGAAATGAGGATATCCGCAGAAGAACCAGAGTAACCAACATAGCCCAACGGATTAGTAAGCTGAAGTGGCAATGGGCCAGTCCTATAGCTCGAAGAACCGACAACCAATGGGGAAAAAAGGTTCTTGAGTGGCGGCCTCGTACCGGCGGACGAATTGTAGGGCGTCCCTCCACTAAATGGAGTGACGACCCGGTAAGACTTGCAGGAAGTCGATGGATTCGGGTGGCTCAGGACCGTGCTTTGTGGCATTCCTTGGGAGAGGCCTATGTTCAGCAGTGGACATGTGAAGGGCTGTAATGATGATGATGATAGTTAAGTATCTACCTATTTATATTAACAATATATCAAAAAAGAAATTCGGGGAAACTGTCCATGGCAGTAAATATTTTTCTCCAAAGATCATAGCTCGAAAATACAACTTTCCGATCTGATTTTTGGGGAGTTTTTTTTAAAAGTTTATCGGTACAGTCACCTAGGATTTTATACATTTGAATTAAAATGCAACAAAAGGCAGGTTCAGCTTATTCCCCGGAACATGTTATATGAATACTTTTTAATTATTTTAGATTATCATGGTAAAAATTCAGCTCATTTTTAAGTTATTCAATTGCGTGCACTAAACAAATTTTTTTAAATTTTTTTACCGCTTCCTTAACAATCATTTTTCGACAGGCCTAGTGAGTAAAATATACATCACGAACTAACGCACACAATGACAAATCAAAATTAGATAGTCACGCGTTTTCGGGCTGTCAGGTCGTCTATACGCCAGTATATTCTAAGTCTATGGCATATACCTACTAAATCTATGACGGTACCCATCCATGAAGTACAATAATATCTGTATTGGAGTTTATCAAAAAATGCGAAACTTCATAGGCCGGCAAAATTATCAAGCTAAATTTTACAGACCTTAGTACAGACGAGAGCTTGTAGAACAATGGATTTCGAAGAAATATTGAATAACGACACTTTAATAGATACTTTATAAGTATTCGTATTATTCATAATAAAATAAAGATTTATTATTTTAGACGTGAATGTTGCTCATGTTAGAAGCTTCATAAGAGGCAGTTGAAACTTGAAACTGTTTTATTTTTAGTACATTTTAGGGACAAAACCATGTCGTAAAATATAACTTCTTTTAAGACATAGCCTCTCCAGTTATAAGAAGAGTTTGCAATAATTTCCACTATTGGCAAACAGATTGGCAATAGATATAGGTACCAGAGATCTCACATCACGACAAGACCTTTATAACATAAGTAAATAATCATTGCAATTTATTGTTTACACTCCTTCAGTAAACAGATTTGAAAATATATTGCACGATTGGCTTTAAGGAAAAAATCATTACGATATACGTAGAAAATAAAAGTAACTTGATTTTAATCATACTCTAAGATCAATTAGTCTTTTAAATATTAACGTTGGCTGTTTTGAAAACTCATTGCTTAAAGTTTAAACTTAAAATTGATAAATACTATTTTTTGTCTGTGATATTAAAGATATTTATAAACTTGTGGCTGAAGTCGCGGCGTCACCATATAGAGTGACGTATGCAGACGGCACTCTTGGAAAGAAAGGCTAAACCTGCCTCTAAATAGCTTGATGGGCGCAGTAGATCAGAGCGGTATTTCAACCCGGGCCACCTTTGTACCTTGCAGCTTTAAAAATCGTATGTTCCGTCCCATATGAAATAGGTTGACTTTAGTCATAGAAAACTAAACAATATTCCAACATAGTCATATAAGTCACTAGATTGCCAGCTTGTTAAGTAATTATATATGATAATAATTTTTTAATGATTATTAAAAAACAAAAAAATGTGTTAACTATAAATAAGACTTTTAATTTGGTAATCTTAGTTGTGAATACAAAAAGCAGCGTTCAAAATGAGTAAGTATTGTAAAAATTTGTGTATAGGTAAATATTATATCAGAATTTTTTGTCCTCTACACGTCGCTTTACTATCTCTTTCCATCACTGGCATCATTTCAAAGAAGGGTATTCGGTTTTGTGTTTGGTTTTTCAGGTATAATAATTGGTTAATGATTTAATAATTAATTACAATATTACAATGATGATAATTTAACGTTTTACTTAGACGGTTCATTGTTGCTTGACCATGGCCGCCCAAGATACCGCCGCCATAAGCGATTTTTATTTTTGGATTGTATCGATTAGTACGAATTTCTGCTTACTTATAGATTTACTAGTAGTGAACGTCACAATATGAAGGAAATGGTTTAAATGTACCCATTTATTTACTTATTTGTCTCTCTCAATCATTTTTGTCTTAAAAATATAATATTTTTTTTATAGGATCGGGTGACACACGAGCACACAGTCCACCTGATGGTAAGTGGTTACTGTGACCCATAGACATCTACATCTATCCTCAATAAAGACTCAAGATGCAGATGCGTTGTCATCCGTAAGGACTAAGATGGAATGCCTCTTTGCCAGTAAAAAGGGTCTCCGGTTCTCTACACTCACCATACGAAAGACAGCAGCGTTAAGCTGCTATTTTACACTGGTTTCCTGTGAGAGCGTGGTCCTTCCCCGGTCGAGCCGACCCATTCGTGCTACAACCATAACATAGCTGCAGCATCGCTCTACCACGTAGAAAATATTTTACTTTTTATTTTTTATTAGACAAATGTACAGACCTGCAATTTACATTTTTATTATAAGTATAGATATATTTATATATCAATACTTATAATAAAAGCATCTATATATATAGATGCTACGTTGTTGAACTGTCATTCTCATAAAATAACCCTTAAGATTATTAAAGAAATTGTGTACAACATTGATTTTCATGGTTCTGCATTAAATGGTCGGGCAAACCTCATGGGCGGAGAAATGGCAAGTGGGCGGAGTCATTCCGCTTCCGAGCCTCAGCCCTCTACACATCAACCCTCTCTGGCCTCATAACTTGATAGAGTGTGGTAAGGATAGACACAGCGCAGAGCCCCATAATAATTAGCGCTAACGTTATTAATATTATGTAAAAAGTGCTAAGTGATTATAAATTTGTGAATATGTTTAACATGGATGGCATAAACGTTGGACGATGTCATAGTTTAGAAAGCACCAGTGTAGTGCCGGTATCACTTGGTGGTTCGCCCATTTCAGCCAACAGTTCCGATGTTTTCTTATACGACGATTCATCAATGTCCGACGGAAGCCTCTATGCAAGTGATCAGGAAAATTTATCGACTCCTCTAAAAAGGTAGGTTGTTTCTTTTTGACGGTTGACGAATATTCGACAAATAGGGTGCAAAAATATAAATTATAAGCTGAACCTATGTATTTACTTATTAATTAATCAGAATGATTTCTATTCTATGTTCACAGGTGTAGATGAGAGAATGTTTTATGTAAATTGATTTCCACTTTACAGGAAGCACTGTTAAATTTCAAGTGTCAAAGCGAATGTTTAAAACAATGACTCCAGTATTCGAATTGCATCAATAGCGAATGTTTTTGAAAAATCATAATTATACCTATAGGTTAAAGCCTAAAGCACATTTAAAAAAAAAACAAGAATTATTTAACTGTACTTCTCTTTAATTTTTTAGAAATGTTACTATTATATTAAGAAAACAAATGTTTTAGTAAACAGAAAAAGGAGATGTTCATTTTAGTATGTTCCTTATATTTTTGTAGCATAATTTCATAATTGCAAGACCTTTATTGATGAAATTTTTGTTCACTTAAAATTAGTGTGATTAATATATGTAAATATTATATATTATTTTAATTTATACAAGAACAAGAACTAATAAAAATAAAATAATTTTCACACAGTTTCGGAGTCCGTGCTAAGATTTCAAAAGCTATTATGTGAAAATGATTATTTTTTAGTTTTTGATGTCGGTTTTAACCTTCAAGTCTCTACGGAAGATCATAATAAATAATAAAATAATAGTTCAAGATAACTACTTTAATGTAGTTTCTATAGATACATTTAAATCTTCATCTCCTTTTTCTACCCTTAAAGATGAAATTTTTTCTTTAAATTTATAATAAACCACTCCTGAAGTATAATATAAACTATTTAATAAATAAGAATAATTCAAATTCGATTAGCCGGTGAACATATAAAAAACGTGCCTTTAATTCGTGATCAGAATTTTTGTTCTAAATCCAAAAATAAGGTTAAAATAAAAGCTGACACTGATGACAGATTTATTTAATAAGTAGCTTTTGCCTGCGGCTTCGCTGGCGTGAACATTTTAGGGAAGGATGGAAAAGAAAACTAAAATAGCCTTTGTTCGGTTGTGGATCACATTACAGGTTATAAAACAAGTCGAGTGTTAAATTCTTGCTACGCAAAATTATGGGGTACTGTATGTGTAACCTACTTCTGAAAATGTGTTTTATTTATTTTTTACAATTTAATGTGACATAACGTATACTGAATTAAATTCGGCCGTACATAAAAAATCTGTCAAGTATTATATGTTCTTGCTATGCAAAATCATTACTATGTAAGTGTAAATATACTTCTGAAAAACTACATATGTACATATAAATAAAATTCCAGTGTCTGTCAGTAATATCGATTTAAGTGCTTCTATTAAGTTCGGATGGTTATTTGTACGCTATTAAGATATGAATAATAATTTGTAAATGTTTGTCCGTCTGTTTATTTGTCTGTCTGTCGAGTTAATCTTCAGCTCAATGACTGAACCGATTGTGATGAAACTTTACCGACAGATATTGATATATCTCGAATAATTATACGAGGTATACGTGGTAGAGCCATGCTGCAGCTATATTAATAGTATAGTTGTAGCACGAGTGGGTCGGCTCTAGCGGGGAAGGACCACGCTCTCACAGAATACTAGCATAAAATAGCAACTTAATGCTGCTGTTTCATATGGTAAGTGTAGAGACCCGAAGATCCTTTTTACTAGAAAAGAGGTAGGTCCTCACGGCTGACAACGCATCTGCATTTTAATTCGCAAACGAAGATAGATGTAGATTTCTATGGTCCACAGCAACCACTTACCATCAGGTGGACTGTGGGCTCGTTTGTCACCCTTATTCTATAAAAAATATGACGCCACATTAGTAGACTACTTAATAAATTTTTAAACAAATTAAATAGGAAATAATGGGTATTGACTTACACGGCGCACATTCCTTCTCACATTGAATACTCTTCTCTTCTCTGTGCCAAGGCATCTCCGTATCAGTTTTCACTTGTTCGCATTCAGTGTACATACGACCGAGATTTTTTTTTCTGCTTGGCTTGAACGAGGAAACGTTTCATCTCTGCATTTTATTGCATTTACCCTAGGGAGTCTTTCAAGTTATTGTTCTAACCACCATCAATATCATCTACACTATCTAGATGTTTTTCCAGTTATTTTGTTCTTCGCACAACTACTTTGTGCCTCTTCTATCGCCAGCGTTTTCTGGACCGATACAACCTATGGACCTTTAAGAAAAGAACTTTCTCCTTCTTCAAGGACCAGGTACATTATTTTTTGGCTGCTAATCATTTTATTTGTTATAATGAAGATAAAAATTGTATTTATCAATACATTATTACAGTGTCATATATTAAAATGGCAGAGTGGTTTGTATACCTTCATTACTAATATATAACTAAATAAATAAATATGAATGACCAATTTACATAATTAAAAATATATATTTCAGTAGCATATTTCTGATAACAACTCAAAATAATAAAATACCTTGCACTTTTGATAGGATGTATTAATGTATGTATTAATTTACACGTGGTAGAGCCATGCTGCAGCTATATTAGTAGTATAATTTTAGCACGAATGGGTCGGCTCGACCGGGGAAGGACCACGCTCTCACAGAATACCAGCGTCAAATAGCAGCTTAATGCTGCTGTGTTTCGTATGGTGAGTGTAGAGAACCGGAGACCCTTTTTACTGGAAAAGAGGCATTCCATCTTAGTCCTCACGGGTGACAACGCATCTGCATTTTGATTCACAAACGAGGATAAATATAGATGTCTATGGGCCACAGCAACCACTTACCATCAGGTGGACTGTGTGCTCGTTTGTCACCCTATCCTATAAAAAATGTATGAAGAAGTAGGAACCGTCATTTTAATGTGTGAAGGCTAACTCATAGTTTTTTATTTACTTATATAATTTTTCTATGTTTTGAATGTCAATCATATTTATTTATTTTGTAATTTGAGGGTCATTTATCGGGATAAAAACTATCCTGTCTCTCAAGTTGGACCAAAATGCACACAGTGTGCGAAATTTCATTGAAATCAGTTCAGTAGTTTAGCAGTCCATCGCGGACAAACAACGTGACACGTAATTTTTATATATAAAGATATAGTCACAAATTATGCAGGATCTATCTAACAAAAAGTTGAATAATGTTATAAAACAAAATTTGTTTAACAGAAGTTATTATACCACTAAAAACTATATGATGCATGGAATCTTAGGAATGAGGTGATCGCTACTGTGCTGTTTCTAAATGTTTTCATGTTTAATAGTATATTATATTATAAATTAATGTTTAAAAAAAGAACTGCCTGCCGGGTTTCTTGCTGGTCCTTCCCAGGACAGAAGGTTTTCCGAATCAGCGGTAATAAAAGCTCAATAAGTATTAATGTAATCTAATCTAGGTATATTGAATAAAAATTCTATTCTATTCTTTTTTACCCACGGAGAACGGAATGGCGGCGTGGTCCAGCGTTTCATTTTAAGTGCCCTGTAGTCATACTTAACCTTTGGACTACATTTTCCGTGTTTATCTTTATATACATCTTTGCATTCTCTTTTTACTTAATTTATTACTCGTATGAAGTCATTTATGACCGTCTGTAGAAAAAAAATTTCCATTATCGGACATTAAGACACGCGACGGCTGTCTAATTCTAATTGTTCTGGATTTTTTTGATAGGATAGGGTGACAAACGAGCACACAGTCCACCTGATGGTAAGTGTCTGCTGTGACCCATAGACATCTACATTTATCCTCAATAAAAAATCAAAATTCAGATGCGTCGTCACCCGTGAGGACTAAGATGGAATGCCTATTTTCCAGTAAAATGGGTCTTCGGTTCTCTCCACTCACCATACAAAACACAGCAGTGTCCAGCTGACATTTTACGCTGGTATTCTGAGAGAGCGTGGTCCTTCCCCGGTCGAGTCGACCCATTCATGCTACAACTATACTACTAATATAGCTGCAGCATGGCTCTACCACCTTAAAGGATGTATTAATTACTAACATTCAGCCTCAAAGTTTTAATTCGTCAGTTATTGCAAAAGATTAGAATAATTTGCCGACATCAGGCTTTTCGTTTGAACACACTATAAATACATATAGTAAAATTATTCTCTCCAAATTTTTATGAGAGCACTCCTGAAGTTAACGCTATTTAATTAAAAGAAATCATCGAAATCGGGTCACAATTTACGAAGATATCGCTTACGAGTATTATAGAAGGACGTAGTTAATAAACCTCCTCCAAATTATTTCTTATGTTTACGCGAACACTACACATTTAAATGAAACAAAGTTTTACGGATTTTATTACGTCTATTAACTTATTTTAAATACCCGATGTTTCGAGTACTTTACAGTACATTTGAACACGGGGGCTGAAGTGTTCAACGTTCCAATGTCATAGTTAAGCACGGCTACCTTTAGCTTAAAATTTTAATTATTAATTTTTAACTTTAGGATACTAAGGTAACTGTGGGTGATGAGGCCTAGCTAAAGGAAAATTGAAAATAAAATCAGAAATATCTACATAATTTGGTCTACCGATTTTAATAAAAATCATTAGTTTAGTACAGTTTCTATAAAGTATGAACGAATAATTGGAACATTTGCCATAAATAAAAAGAAAAACAAAATTAAAAATGTCTAAATATCTTACTAGTAGGCCTTATTTTACTATGGTAGGGTCATAAGGCCTACTGCTTTAACGAACTCAAATAAGGAATTTATACGTAATATATATAATATTTGTGATCAATAATCATATGAATGCAGCAATTAACACTTAAAATTTTAAACAAATATGTAATTTGCCTCGCCTAACAGTACTTAAAGTCATTAATATAATGATAAACAAACTGACAAACAAACGCAATACTCGTGATTATCATCAGAGCGTCGGTTGTGTCAAGAGTCGAGTTAAGTGTTAGGTTAAGTTGAGGATTGGGTTTACTGTTGGATTGAGTGTCCTCCCAACCAAATTTCTGTCACAGTGGCCAGACGCAACGGAGACTAGCCCATCAGCACAGTACAGAAGTATAGTATCCGAATGTATGCGTAAGCACAGGTGCACTCTCTATTCCCTCACAATCATCAAATCGCAATCCGACACGGTCCGAGAGAGCTTAGGCGCAGGACCAATAATTTACACATAGCTTCTAATGTTAAAGCCTTAATTCTCGACACACTTTGTCTTTGCGCTGTTTGGACAGCTGAAACCAGGCCTTTTTCTGACTACGAAATTAGTTTAGTAATAAAAGCGTACGATTTATTTGCATTTATAACTTTTAAAAGTGATATAAAGTTCATAATAAAACAAAAAAACTACACAAGAAAAAGGAGTATAATAAGGCCTGTGGTGAAATTTAGTAGGCCTTAATAACCGCCGACCAAGTATTTAAGAAAAAATTAAATTAAAAAAATGACCACGATGTGTGACTCAAATCTTCAAGATCAACAAAGAAATTATTCATAAAGATAAAAATTACGATTTTAGATAGATAAAAGTAATTTTACAAAACATACCTACGATTTATTTGGAGTCATTTTTATTATTGTTGCACTGCGGTCGTATCTTATGATAGATAATGCAACTCTGGTGGCAGGACGCGGTGTAGCGCGTCTCTGCAAACTTGTAGAGACATTATCGTGCAATAGGAGTCTGTTGTTATCTCCTTAAGTGAGTGCGGTTATTATAAATACGATTTTTGTAATGTAGGCCTTATTAGCCGACAGGCTTTATTACCCGCAGGCACCTTATAGGCTCATTCTGAGTAGATCGGACCAAAAATTAATAATTTTAAACTGAAGGTAGCTGTAATTAAGTATAACATTGGTCCGTCGAACACCGCAGTCCCCCCAGTGACCATGGGCGCCGTAAAGTACTTGAAAGGTGGGGAATTTAAAAATAAAAACCAGCTGCTTTTTTAATTCGACAAAAAAAACCATACAGTCGAATTGTTAACTTAACTCCCTTTTTTGAAGTATCAAGACGAGCAATACAAAACTGCACGCCTAAAAGAATTTTTACAGTCTTGGGCGCAGGTACTTATGAATTAAACTTGTGAATGACTGTAAAACTGTAACAATGATGATGATGATTCATACAACAGTAATTTTTATTTTGTTTATTATTTAACCCATGAATAACAACTAACAACTATGCAATTTACCAACTAGACCCACGAGCTAACAATCCATCTAACGATAAGTGGCTGCTGAATCCCATGAGTACTTGCATTCAACTACAAAGCAGAGATAGGTAAGATAGGTGCGTTGTCAGTTGTCACTAAAGTTTAAGTTTCACCTCACACACTGTAGTAAATTGGTAAAGTTTAGTATTATATTTTTTTAGGTCGGAATACAGGCGACTGCATAAAAGACGTTCACGATGTCCTCAACAGCAAATTCAACAACGGCAGGCGGCTAACTTGCGTGAGCGTCGTCGTATGCAATCTATAAATGATGCATTTGAGGGACTAAGAGCACATATACCTACGCTGCCATATGAAAAACGGCTCTCCAAAGTAGACACACTAAAACTGGCCATCGGTTATATCAGCTTCTTAGGTGAACTGGTAAGTTGTCTTATGGTCATTCATATATGATATACGGTACTATCTGACCGCAAGGTAATGAAAATGCGTAGACTTAACCAGCATTTGAAAAAAATATGTTGAAAAATAAATTGATTTTAATTTCATTCATCGCACTGGGTAAAAATAGTTAAATTATATTTGGGAACAGATAGCACCCGCCGTGTTGTCGACGTGAATATGACATCGACGGCAAAGAAACACACAGGAGAGCTCTGTCGCTATACAGTATGGGTATGGGCCTTACTATGCAAGGATTTGGCTTGAAACTATAGTTAGTATAAATATCTGCCATACTATAGCAAGCAGACCAGGATATTTATGCTGAATGCATTCGATGCTATCAGTAATAGTAAATAATTAGTTATAAAAATAAAAGCATGGGCATTTACTTCTGGATACATTCAAAGATCTAAGAAAGTAATTAAAAAGGTTAAGTATTTATTAAAAATAATTCAACAGGTCCGAGCAGACAGAAGCTTATCGGACACCATGCTTTCTGGCGTAAGCAACAGCCACAATAAAGAAGAACAGAAAAAGATTATTATCAGAGGTAAGATAATTGTTTATCATCAGAGATAATCAAAAATACATTACTCAATTTAAGCAGATTATATTTCTTTTAAAATTGGCCCTGTTTAGAGTTCCATTATTATACAAAGAATCCTTATAATTCCATTCTAACCAGCTGTTCCAATGTGTCACGGCATCATAACTTCTAGAGATAACTTTTTGCTTTATACTGTTCAATCCCTCCACTCCACGTTACCTGGAAGACAGCTTTGAGTCATCTCCTCCTCTCACGATCGTCATCCACTAACAATATTTCACTTCGTATTCCGGCTCATTCATTCTCCTTTTTTATTAAATAAATAATAAAATAATAAATAATAATAACCTTCAAGAAAAGAGCGTACTCCTTTTTAAAAGGCCGGCAACGCATCTGCAATTCCCTCCCTGGTGTTGCAGTTGTTTATGGGCGGCGGTAGTCACTTACCATCAGGTGAGCCGAATGCTCGTTTGCCCCCATAAAAAAAAAATATTTTAAAACATTATTTTCGGTTACAGCTGTACACGCTTGTGGAACTTCTTACCTTTATATATTCCACGTGATCAGTCCCTTTTGTGGGTTCCGTACCCGAAAGATAACCGACGGGAGCCTATTACTAAGCATCCGCTGTCCGTACGTCTGTCTGTCAGCGGGCTGTACCTCATGATCCGTCATAGGTACACAGTTGAAATTTTCACAAAGTGTGTATTTCTATTGCCGCTATAACAACAATTAATAAAAAATAAAAATAAATTAAAAATTAAAGGGGGCTTCCCTACTAGAAACGTGCTTTTACCTACACAGTACTAAATATTGTACGATGGTACGAAACCCTTCATGCGCGATCTCTCTCTAATATTTCCCATCATACTTCCCTATTTAATTGTATCTATCATACTTATCCTCAACTGTCATCATTTAATATATACATATTTATTTGTATTAAGTTTTATCTTATTGTTTAATTTATTTTCACTTTCCCATTCGCCATTCGTTGTAAACAACAGAAAAGGTTGTATGGAAGAAATCGCATCCAGAGCGATAAGGGCATTACCACACCAACTGATCGATTGTCGATCGATGGTGGAATGGATTAGTCGACGTCGATCGAGCTCCTTGATTATTCGAATATATTTTGAAAGATACTGATGATGAGCCCACAACCAAATCGATTAATTGTCGATCGACGTCGATCGATGATTGAACAACGTTTTATCGATCAGTATCCGGCGATCAGCTAAGCTACCACACCAATCGATCGACATCGATCGATGACGATCAATGGCATCGATCGACAATCGATCTATTGGTGACCCTACCTTACCTTACGTGTGATGTAATACGCACTTGTTCAGCCCCGTCCCGCCAGCAACGCAAAGTCAGGAATTTGCATTTAGAAAAAGCCAAAAATTAGGGGCTTTAAAGGTGCTATTAGGTGCCAAGTTTAAAAATTAAGTGCTCTAAAATTTTCACCGCAACGAACTGTTGAAATTTGCGTTGCTGGCAAAACGTATCGCTAGCAACGCAGTGACGATAATAGATATACGATAAATATCAAAGGCAAGGAATTAAGTGTTAATTAGTGCTGCAAGTATAGGCAGTGACAAGGCACCCCTAATAAAAATAAGGTCGTTATTCAGAGCAAAGCAAATGTAAAAAATCAGGTCTTCTGAAAATCTTCTGAAAATGGTAAAACTAAAGACACCCGCAAGTAGCGTACAGAGGTCGGAGGGGTGTGGAGGAGGGAGAAGGTTCTGGGAAGCACCTTATATTATACAGTTATAATTTTTTTTTTGTAAAATCATAACCTCACTTTTTACACAGGAATATTGAATATTGTTCTGCAACGGCTTCGGCGCTGCGGGAGGTGCAGCCCCTTCGCCCTTGCGTAGCAAATCACAGGCATACATGCTCACCCCGCAGCTTCGCCAGCACCGCATATTTCCACAGTTCGTTGCGGTGAAAATTTTAGAGCGCCTTATTTCTAAACTTGGCACCTAATTAGCACCTAAAAAGTTTTGGCTTTTTTTTCTAAATGCAAATTCCTGACTTTGCGTTGGTGGCGAGACAGAGTTCACTTGTTCAATACTGTATTGCTACGGGTACTAACTCTTCCTGCGGCTTCGACCATCCATTGGCTGATATCTTGAAATTGGAAAATGAAATTACTGCGGCAAATGTCTATCTAGTATTATTATCTGACTACTAATCTATAAAGGCATAGCTGTCACATGCTGATACCCCAAATACAAATGTGAGGTATAAATTTCGAATTTCGACTACCTACAATGTTTTACTACATTGGGGCAAAGATAAAAAGCAAAAAAAATACAGCACAGCACTATTTTCACGTATAGATTTCATGTCATATTATATACTAGCTGGCCAGGCAGACGTTGTTCTGCCCTTTTCGACGACCCTTCATATAAAAAAAACTTAAATTCTTAATAAAAAAATATTGAGTGTCACTTATCAAGATAAAAACTATCCTATCTCTCAAGTTGGAGCAAACTATACAGAGTGTGCAAAATTTCATTGAAATCAGTTCAGTAGTTTAGGAGTTCATCGCGGTCAAACAACGTGACACTTAATTTTTCTGATTCGTTGCGTTCGCAATTCTTCTGATCCTAAACGGCTTGACCCATTTCGATAATTTTTATTAAGTATAGCTGTTCCCCGCGACTTCGCCCGTGTGTTATTTGGGGTTTTCATTTTTTTGCGCGGAACCCTAATTCTTTTTCTAAAATAAAAGTAGCGTAAGTTACTCCTTGTAACATCTGCTATCTGCCAGTGAAAACCCCATCAAAATCAGCCCAGCCGTTTCGGAGATGAGCCGGAACAAACAGACAGACAGGCAAAAAATTTAAAATTGTATTTTTGTTATTAGTACCGTATATACTTTCATATGCATTTAGTAAAAAGCTATAATTTTGACATTACAAACAGTCACTTAAATTTTATTTATTTGTATAGATTTATGGCGCCACCTGGATAGTTCTTAGCTATAGTTGGACCCGTTAGGTGGCGCTGTTGTTGAGATCCAGCAATCAGCCGAGGCGAACTAGCGATAGTATAATTATATAGATAACTAATGTTGAATTCCATTGCCGTCCTTTAATTAACGGCAAATTGTTTATTGGTGATATTTGATGCATTATTTCATTTGCTTATTGATTGTCACTAAAACAGTTCGTATTTTATATAATGATCATCGTTATCATCATCATTACAGCCTTTCGTAAGTCCACTACAATCGATTTCCTACATGACTTACCAGGTCGTCACTCCCTCTAGTGTAGGGCCGCACTACACTTCGCTTACTGGTACGAGACTGCCACTCGAGAACCTTTCTTCCCCATCGGTCGTCGGTTCATCGAGCTATATGGCCGGCCCATTGCCACTTCAGCTTACTAGTCCATTGGGCTATGTCGGTTACTCTGGTTCTACGGCTGATATCCTAATTTCTAAGTTTATCACGCAAAGAAACCCCAAGCATAGCCCTTTCCATGCTCGCTGAGCAACCTAGAGCTTCCTCATACGGCAAGCAGTGAAGGACCACGTCTTAGATCCATATGACATCATTGTCAACGCGCATTGGTTGTATAATCTTGTTTTCAAGTTTTGAGGTATACCTCACGAGAAGAAGATTTGTAATCTCCCGAACGCTGCCCAGCCGAGTTGAATCCATCAATTGACCTCTCGGTCGAAGTAGGACTTACAGCCGCCGCACTTCTGCTTCACGCCTCCGGAGTAGTGCCACCATAGAGGTCGGAATTAAAGAACTTCTGAAATAATTCAAGTACTAGTTTTTCACATGCTTTTAGAAGCTTCGCTGTAGTTTCAACTTCGCCAGGGGCCTCGTCGTTTTTATGGTACTGGAGAGCTATTCTAATCTCGCTCAGACTGACGTCCAGAATATCATCGGAATAGTATCAGATAAGACTTGCTTTTTGGATCGTTACTCACACTTGCGTGTGGCTTCAACCTTCAACACTTTGATATACCGACAGTCAACTTTGCACCACTGAAAGGACTTTAGCGCCGCCCAAATTTTGACGGAATAAAAGGTTTTCTCATAGTCCACATACTCAAGATAAAGAGGCAGATTGTACTTTGGTCTTCTGTAATGTCTTACTGTACTTCTGTTTTAACGTATTTTAGCAATTATATATAGAAATACAGTCTTAAATTTTACCAAAAACAGACTTGTTATTTTCAAAATAGTAATAAAAACGTACACACGCGTAATTATTTCTTCTGCGGCAACAACGCGCCGCGCCGGGTGCCACCTAGAATACAATAATATTTTAAGTAAAATATTAAACTTAGACATTGTGCTTGAGGCATTCCTTGGGGGAGGCGTTTGTTCAGCAGTGGACTTGTGAAGGGCTGTAATGATGATGATGATGATGATGGTGGTGAATATAGACATCACAAGTCAAACAACACAAAATGACATTTGTCAAATAAATGAGCAAGTAGTATAGGATGTTGGACGAATATTTTAACGCATGAATTTACACGCAACATCATTGAATAAATTTGACTCTTTTTGCCTTGTTTGAAAATTGAGTTAGATAAGGTGAGATAAATATATTGACTCCCTTTTATGTAAAAATGTAGAATCCCTCTATGCATACAAAAAATATGTATGTAATTACTCTAAGATTTACATTTATTGTATATAGCGATGCGCCCCGGCTTCGCACGGGTGATTTTTGGATCTACCGGGACCAATTGTGAATCTAAACCATTCATGGACCCACTTAAACACATTGACAACTTGGATACCGAGATCTCATTCGGCAGTGCTTAGTACGGTCTACGTATTTTCAAAACAACGTTCCGCTGCGACTATAACTGCAAATTATTTACCATACTGCCTTATTGCTCTATATATTAATAATCAAGGACAAAGAAAATTTCAATACTGCAAAAGAACAGGTCACAGTACAGGTTGTTCTTATTTGATACCAATAACTCCTAGTACGGTGTAGCAGACC